CACCAGCTTGGCCTCCTCCAGGCGCAGCTCCTCCTGCAGCTGCCGGATCAGGCGCTCCCGCTGCTCCGGGCTCCGCTGGAAACCCGGGAAAAACCACAAACCCGCGGCAGAGAGCGGAGACACGGCACGGTGAGAATTCCCGCAGCACCGGAGGTGATTCCATCCCGGGTATTCCCGGTGATTCCCACCCGATCCCGGAGATTCCATCCCGGGTATTCCCGGTGATTCCCACCCGATCCCGCTGATTCCATCCCGGGTATTCCCGGTGATTCCCACCCGATCCCTCTGATTCCATCCCGGGTATTCCCGGTGATTCCCAATGATTCCATCCCGGGTATTCCCGGTGATTCCCACCCGATCCCGGTGATTCCATCCCGGGTATTCCCGGTGATTCCCACCCGATCCCGCTGATTCCATCCCGGGTATTCCCGGTGATTCCCAATGATTCCATCCCGGGTATTCCCACCCGATCCCGGTGATTCCACGCTGATATTCCCGGTTATTCCCACCCAATCCTGGGTTATTCCCAATGATCTAATCCTGGTTATTCCAGGCTGATATTCCCAGTTAATCCCAACCAATCCTGGGTTATTCCCAATGATTCCATCCCGGGTATTCCCACCCGATCCCGGTTATTCCAGGCTGATATTCCCACCCAATCCTGGGTTATTCCAAATGATCCAATCCCAGGTTATTCCAGGCTGATATTCCCGGTTATTCCCACCCGATCCCGGTTATTCCAGGCTGATCCCAGGTCATTCCAGGCCAATATTCCCGGTGATTCCCGCCGCCATTCCCGGTGATTCCCCCCAATTCCCAGTGATTCCCCCCAATTCCCGCTGATTCCCCCCAATTCCCGGTGATTCCCTCCCAATTTCCGGTGATTCCCCCCAATTCCCGGTGATTCCTCCAAATTCCCGGTGATTCCCTCCCAATTCCCGGTGATTCCCGCTGCCATTCCCGGTGATTCCCGCTGCCATTCCCAGTGATTCCCGCCGCCATTCCCGGATTTCGGGGCTCACCAGGAGGCCGGGCCCGGGCTGGGGGGGCCCTGCGGGGTCCAGCCCGTTCAGCCGGGGGCTCCCGGCCTCGGTGTCCGACAGAACGATCACATCCGGAGACACCCCACGGTGATCCCGCCGGGAATCCCTGCCGGAGGAACGGGAATGGGAATGGGATGGGAATGGGATGGGATTGGGGATGGGAATGGGATGGGATGGGATTGGGAATGGGATGGGAATGTGGGGATGGGAATGGGATGGGAATGGGAACAAGATCAGAACAGCTCAAGGAACCGCGGCACCATCCCAGCCCCTTCCCAGAGATCATTGCAGCCATTCCCAGAGATTCCAGCCATTCCCAGAGATCATTCCAGCCCCTTCCCAGAGATCATTGCAGCCATTCCCAGAGATTCCAGCCATTCCCAGAGATCATTCCAGCCATTCCCAGAGATCATCCCAGCCATTCCCAGAGATTCCAGCCATTCCCAGAGATTCCAGCCATTCCCAGAGATCATTCCAGCCATTCCCAGAGATTCCAGCCATTCCCAGAGATCATCCCAGCCATTCCCAGAGATCATCCCAGCCATTCCCAGAGATTCCAGCCATTCCCAGAGATTCCAGCCATTCCCAGAGATCATCCCAGCCATTCCCAGAGATTCCAGCCTTTCCCAGCCCTTTCCCAGCCATTCCAATCCTTTTCCAGCCCTTTCCAAACTCTTTTCCCTTCCCTTTCCAGACATTTTCCAGCCCTTTTCCGTTCCTTTTCCTGCCCCTTCTCCAGCTCCTCTTCCAAGGTTTTTCCAGCCCTTTTCCAGGGCTTTTCCAGCCTTTTCCCGGTCCCTTTTCCAGGGAATTCCAGCGCTGGGAGAAGGGCCCAAGGCAGGAATTTCAGGAGCGGGAAAATTCCAAAGGCTCAGGAATGTCCTCTAGAGGGCCCAGCGAGCCAGGGAATCCCAAATCCAGGGAATCCCAAATCCAGGGAATCCCCAAATCCAGGGAATCCCAAATCCAGGGAATCCCAAATCCAGGGAATCCCAGATCCAGGGAATCCCAAATCCAGGGAATCCCAAACCCAGGGAATCCCCAAATCCAGGGAATCCCAAATCCAGGGAATCCCAAATCCAGGGAATCCCAAATCCAGGGAATTCCCAATCCAGGGAATCCCAAACCCAGGGGATCCCAAATCCAGGGAATTCCCAAATCCAGGGAATCCCCAAACCCAGGGAATCCCCAAATCCAGGGAATTCCCAAATCCAGGGAATCCCAAATCCAGGGGATCCAATCCCCAGAATTCCAAGGAATCCTCACCCTTTGGAAGTGCTCATATCCACGGGCTCATCCCAATAAAAACCGGGATCCAAACCCCAGAATTCCCAGAATTCCCTGGATTCCTCACCCTTTGGAAGTGCTCATATCCACGGGCTCATCCCAGGCCACATCCCAATAAAAACCGGGATCCAATCCCAGAAAATTCCCGGAATTCCAAGGAATCCTCACCCCTTGGAAGTGCTCATATCCATGGGCTCATCCCGATAAAAACCGGGATCCAAACCCCAGAATTCCCGGAATTCCTGGAATTCCTCACCCTTTGGAAGTGCTCATATCCACAGGCTCATCCCAGGCCACATCCCGATAAAAACCGGGATCCAATCCCAGAAAATTCCCGGAATTCCTGGAATTCCTTGGATTCCTCACCCTTTGGAAGTGCTCATATCCACGGGCTCATCCCGATAAAAACCGGGATCCAAACCCCAGAATTCCCAGAATTCCTTGGATTCCTCACCCTTTGGAAGTGCTCATATCCACGGGCTCATCCCAATAAAAACCAGGATCCAAACCCCAGAATTCCCGGAATTCCTCACCCTTTGGAAGTGCTCATCTCCAAACTTATCTCAATAAAAACCGGGATCCAAACCCCAGAATTCCCAGAATTCCCTGGATTCCTCACCCTTTGGAAGTGCTCATATCCACGGGCTCATCCCAGGCCACATCCCAATAAAAACCGGGATCCAATCCCAGAAAATTCCCGGAATTCCAAGGAATCCTCACCCTTTGGAAGTGCTCATATCCACGGGCTCATCCCAATAAAAACCAGGATCCAAACCCCAGAATTCCCGGAATTCCCGGAATTCCTCACCCTTTGGAAGTGCTCATATCCAAACTCATCCCGATAAAAACCGGGATCCAAACCCAGAAAATTCCCGGAATTCCCTGGATTCCTCACCCTTTGGAAGTGCTCATATCCACGGGCTCATCCTGATAAAAACCGGGATCCAATCCCAAAGAATTCCCTGGATTCCTCACCCTTTGGAAGTGCTCATATCCACGGGCTCATCCCAATAAAAACCAGGATCCAATCCCAGAAAATTCCCGGAATTCCTCACCCTTTGGAAGTGCTCATATCCACGGGCTCATCCCGATAAAAATCAGGATCCAAACCCAGAAAATTCCCGGAATTCCTTGGGAATCCTCACCAGAAAATTCCCGGAATTCCTCACCCTTTGGAAGTGCTCATATCCACGGGCTCATCCCGATAAAAACCAGGATCCAAACCCCGGAATTCCCGGAATTCCTTGGATTCCTCAGCCTTTGGAAGTGCTCATATCCACGGGCTCATTCCTGGCCACATCCCAAAAACCAGGATCCAATCCCAGAAAATTCCCGGAATTCCTTGGAATCCTCACCCTTTGGAAGTGCTCATATCCATGGGCTCATCCCAATAAAAACCGGGATCCAAACCCCGGAATTCCCGGAATTCCCGGAATTCCTCACCCTTTGGAAGTGCTCATCTCCAAACTCATCCCGATAAAAACCGGGATCCAATCCCAGAAAATTCCCGGAATTCCTTGGATTCCTCACCCTTTGGAAGTGCTCATATCCATGGGCTCATCCCAATAAAAACCGGGATCCAATCCCAGAAAATTCCCGGAATTCCCGGAATTCCTCACCCTTTGGAAGTGCTCAAATCCATGGGCTCATCCCCAAACTTATCCCAATATAAACCGGGATCCAAACCCCAGAATTCCCGGAATTCCTCACCCTTTGGAAGTGCTCATATCCAAACTCATCCCGATAAAAACCGGGATCCAATCCCAGAAAATTCCCGGAATTCTGAGTTATCCTCACCCTTTGGAAGTGCTCATCTCCACGGGCTCATCCCAGGCCACATCCCGATAAAAAACCAGGATCCAAACCCCAGAATTCCCGGAATTCCCGGAATTCCTCACCCTTTGGAAGTGCTCATATCCAAACTCATCCCAATAAAAACCGGGATCCAAACCCCAGAATTCCCGGAATTCCTGGAATTCCTCACCCTTTGGAAGTGCTCATATCCACGGGCTCATCCCAATAAAAACCAGGATCCAAACCCCGGAATTCCCAGAATTCCCGGAATTCCTCACCCTTTGGAAGTGCTCATCTCCATGGGCTCATCCCGATAAAAACCGGGATCCAATCCCAGAAAATTCCCGGAATTCTGAGTTATCCTCACCCTTTGGAAGTGCTCATAACCCTGGCCACATCCCGATAAAAACCGGGATCCAAACCCCAGAATTCCCGGAATTCCCAGAATTCCTCACCCTTTGGAAGTGCTCATATCCACGGGCTCATCCCAAAAAAACCAGGATCCAAACCCCAGAAAATTCCCGGAATTCCAAGGATTCCTCACCCTTTGGAAGTGCTCATATCCACGGGCTCATCCCCGGCCGGCAGCTCCACTTTGATGGTGGCTTTGACTTCGGAACTTTTCAGCATTCCCGGGATTTTCCCGGCTCCGGGATCCGATTGGATTTTCATCTCCCCCTCGGAGCCCAGCTCGGATCCCGGAATTCCTTTTTCCATCCTGAGTTTTTTATTTTCCGGCTCCGATTCCCGCTCCAGGGCGCGTTTCTGGCTGCGGGTGCGGCATGAGTCCTCGCTCATGGTCAGGGACTGAGGGAAAGGACGGGAAAGGGTTAAAAAAAATCTGGGAATGGGAGGGAAAAATCCCGCTGGGAATGGTGGGGGAATGGCAGGGAGAGAAAATGGGGAATGTGGTGGGGAAAGGGGGGAGGGAAAGGGTTAAAAATGATG